TGTTTAAGTTCTCTTTCATTTGCCTCCAAATTTGTTTAATATGGATAAGCAGTTTGCTTACTATCCGGAAAGACTTTTATTTCGAACTTAAAATACTTCTGGTCAAGTTTAACTGTTGGAAAAAATAACTGCTATTTACGGTCCCTGATTAGAATCGTTGAATATCAGTACATATTTTGCAAACGGAAAACTTTGTTTATTATCAAGGGACTTCAGAGAATAATACCCAATATTTTTATTTTTATTTTATAGGTCTCACAAAAATCCAAAAAAAAATGCAAAAATACAAAAGGATACGTTAAAAAATATTTCCAAAAAGTGGTTAAATATTGTTCTTTGAAGTCTCCTTAATAGAAACAGAGTATGCCGGTTGAAAAATATTGATTTACCATGGCTGACTTCCAAAACGTATCAATACAATGTTTGGAAACTGTTATACTGCGGTATTCAAACTGTTTGTATATGCAGAGTTGCGGCACATTGCAACCATATACATACATTCCATATTTTAAATACTCAATATAGCAATGAACAATTTTTCTGAATTTTCCATTTTTAAAACACCAATGGTAACCAATAACAAACGAAGCATCAACGTTGATTTTCTTTCTGATGCGCTGATTGCGCTAGCGATGCCTTTCGATAAATTTTCGGATGCGTTTTGGAAAAGTATACATGGGGAGTAGGGCATTAAAATTCCGACTTTACTTTTCCCAATGAATTTTTTGCAATCCTAATCTATAGTTCGCGGTAGTGGTTTGTGGTAATGCTTTGCAGAGTACATTATTCAAAGGAAGTTTATGTACGTTCGTCCTTGATTTTGGTGTGCGGCTAGCTAGTGTTTACTTAGCAAATGAAGCTCAAAATGAATTGGAATGATGCTAGAGTGGTTGGCCAATAAAATACTTAAATATACTTAAAACCTAAATACATACATACTATTTGTTGTTGCTATTCATTCCTAAATGGTACGCAAATATTTGATTTATACATAGCTTGTGCAGATACACAATCCCGATGCTGGGAAATATTATTGTACTCTTATATTATCTTACTCTTATATTTATGTACATTAGAGTGGTCAAGTTTTGTAGACGAAAAAATGTCTTCGTAGAAAACGGGACCCCCTAAGTTTTTTTTTTCATTTTGGCATTTGTAATATCTATACTAACATAAGCTTGTAATATTTTTTAGCTAATTTAATTTTTAAATGTTCTTAGATTGATTATAAATATAGACAGTTCATGAGCACCCTCTAAATTTTTACTTAGAAACATAAAGTTTGGTGCCAGCAATTCTTTTGGCGAGAGGAAAAACTTTGGAAGTTGCCTAAACCCTATCTCGGAAACCTTTTTTTTTACCCCTATACTGTACATAAATATTATTTCTTTCTTCTTTCTTAAATGATGAAATGGGAAAAATTCAGACCAAGAACACAATTTTCAGTTACGGTGACACGGAAACCATGGGGCACTATGTATGTCGACAAGTCCCGTTAACTCGGCAAATCCTAAAAACTATATGAATTTAGATAACTCGATACATTTCGGTTAGTCGATAAATCTAAACAATTCCGTACGTATTGAGTGATCAATAATTTTCCAAAAAACTGAACTTCTATAACACGATAAAATTCGATAACTCTACAAATTTCGATAACTATCGGTAAATGTAGAAAACTGTGCGTTTCCAGAGGTAGACAGGTTTTTATAACTCGAAAATTTACCTATCTCGATATATGTATATCGATAACTCCATTTCGATATCTCCATAAACTTTCAAATCTATCGAAAACTCAATTCACTCTAGTAAATCGATAAAACTTGATATGTCTATAAATAGTGATATCTCGATAAATTTATGTAATTCTATAAATTTCGATAGCTCGATACACTTTGAAAAAAAAATTCAAAAACCTCAAGTCCATAATCAGAAAAATTTTACTCAATAATTTGAAAGAACGCGATACAACACAGCTCGATAAATTTCAATAACTCAACATACTTCGATAACTCTATAAATTTTGATCACTTGATAAATATTGATTATGTAATATATGTAAAAAAAAATTGCATTCAGTTGCTAAACTCGACAACTAAGATTCTGTGACATGATAAATGTCGATAACTCAATAAAAATTGATCAATGTCAATAACTCTATAAACTTAATAAACATTGATTAACCGATAAATTTTGATAACTATGAACTTCGGTGATAAGAATCTTGATAACTTTCGATAGCTTAATGTCTGATGACTGAATATATTTCGATTCTTATCGAAAAATCTCAATGAATTTTCTTACCATTTCAGTTAACCGGATTCTTATGTATATTACGTATTCTCATTGTTTTAATTTTCTGCTTTATTTTCAATTTTGGCTTCATCATCTCTTTCTTCATCTTCATCTTCACATTTATCTTTATTAAAAAGTTGCATTTTAAATAAAAGTACAAAAATAAAATCGAAAACAACTCAAATTGAATCGGAATCGCTAAACAAACGGTGACAAAAGGAATGTTAGCGTATTAATATATAGCTAGAGTAGATCATTACACTTCAACATAAGCTCAAGTCTTGAAATTACACAAAACAAGTAATTTTTAGCAAAAAAAAAACCGACTTCAATTCTCATATAAAAAAAAAAAATATATATATATATGTATATATTTTATGATCTAAACCAGATAAGTATGGGACCATTTCTGAGACACTACCTTTCCGATGTAAAAAGAATTATCGAAGTCGGTTGACATGGTCCAAAGTTATGCGGTAACATACATAAAACAACAAATATTCCGACGAACTGATAACCTCCTCCTTTTTTGGAAGTCGATTAAAAACTGAGACACGTAAACTTAATTTTGGGTCGTAGATTGTGGATCTGTATACCGTTTTTCCAGATCAGTCATTTTTATCAAAAAAAAAATTAAATTTTGACAACGCAAAAAATAAAATAGTAACACATCTTTTGTAATTTTTCTATATTAAAGCCTGCTCTTTTGCGAAAAAATCAAGCTACTAACGATGAAAATCGATGCATAAATAAATAGACATGTTTTGAATGGTCAAATGAAAATGTGTAATAATTTTTTTTATGAAATACATAGAAGCAAGAAATAATGTTACTCATACGCCATATCGTACATGGCCGTACTCTTACACGACGTATGTATGAATAACATCTTGCATATTGAAATTGGAATTATTTTTCAATCGCAGCATAAACTTAAAATGAAGAATCTTGCGAAAATTACCTGATCTAGATAACCAGTGTACAAATCCGTAATCTACGACTCTAAATTAAATTAAGTTTAAGTATCTTGGCATTCTTTGTATCATTTTAATGCCCCTTTTCTTCCTAACGTATGAGATTTAAAAAAAAATATTTGCTTTATGGTTTCAATAAGAAATGAACTAATCATATATGTATGTAATACTCCTATATTGGCAGTAAGAGCTAGTACCGTCCGAAAACACTACAGTACAGATATATCAATAAACACGTACGAAAGAAAAGGAACACATACGTTTATAAATAAACATGTACACNATTTCGGAATGCTTACACATTGATAAGTTAGCTTACTGCCAATATAGAAGTATTACATATATGGAACTAATGGACATAGAAAAAATCAATCTATATCTACACATTTGAAGTGTAATAGCCATTTCCACCAACAGCTTAACTACAGCTAAGAGCTCAGATAAAATGGAAGACCCAGACCCATATAATAAAAGCTCCAAGTCTTTTTGCATTCCCAGGTAACATTTTTTTATGGCCCCATTAAGTTTGCGTGCGTTTGCCTCAGTAATTTTAGAAAAAATGGAAAAGGGCTAAAAGTCAATACATACATACATACATATGTAGTTTGGAGACATATAGAGAGCAAATTGGACGATGGTGTTTCAATTTTGTACCGTGGAAGGGCAACATTTTTTGCAAGAAATGAAAACACCACTATTTAAAAATACGTAAATTTTATTTTTAAAAGAGTGAAAAGACAGTTCGGCGCTCAACCGCGACATTACGACATTTTATTGAAGCTTGATAACTAAACCGCTATTTAAGTAAATCACACTGTTGCGTATACGCAACAGACGTCCTAAATATGATAATTAACCGTTATAATCGCATAATCCTTAATCGTCAAAATATTGTTAAAATATTGATCGTTTGATTACTAGGGATTCGAAGACAAACCACAATTTCACACTGAAGCCGGATAATAAAACAAAGCTTATCTATTGAGCATTCTTTGATATATGTATAATAATGTATGTATTTAAATATAAGTTTTGTTTGGTAAACTTCTCGTAGCCAGGTATGAAAAAGCGTTTGCGATGTGGAGCTTTTCTAGCTTTGAATTTATAGCATGCATACGGAAAGCTTTTAGACTTTAAATGTCTGCATAGCTTTTTGCTATATTAAGTTGCATCCCCTTTTTTTAAGCTTATGAATAAGAAGAAACCAAACATCAAGCATACAAAATTCCCTCTACTATAGCTAACATACTTACGGTTACGGCATGAAAATGAGAACATTAGGGAATGGCGAATGTTGAATAAATTTTTATACTTTTAAACTTTGTTTAATGTTTAACAATTGTTGTTGTTACCAGGGCATTAAGTGCGGTGTTTCCGGCCCAAAATATATTTAACTGAACTCCGAATTGTGAGATAGCTCTAAATGCTTTACGCGCTAACGGTGTAATTTACGGTCCCTGGTTGTAACAGTATCCAAATATCAAAAACCAGCATTATGGAATACAGCTTAAGGTACAGCCCTTAGTCAGAGATAGTACATTGCGTTCCTGTAATGTAAACTCGACTTACCACTCATATAATGGAACAAATATTCAATAAATTTAAAATTAGCACTTCAAACGTATATTTTTACATTCAAATTTACGTGTGTGAATACATCTACATATGTACATATACACATAATAAATAAAAAGGTATAAAAGTGTAAATAATTGTTAACTATTTAAAAGAAAATAGTCGCACTGAATCCATGTATTCTAAGGAAGCTAAAAGTAGAAGAAAATTTTAATTAGTGATGAAATGAAAATTGTGCGTTTGTATAAACATACGTACATATGTATCTATGAAATAAAGTGTGTTAGGAATCTTCATATTCGAGAGACATGCGCTCATTAATAAAAAAAAAGAAAACGTCCAACCTATATAAGTGACTGTTGAAAGGGTTTATGAATGAAACAGTTTTCTTTTATAAGACATTTGTCAATTCTGGCAACTAACTTGAAAGCTCTATACAATACTAATTGAAAGATTTTCTAACGAAAAAGTCTTAACGTAGTGCTGTTCGCCTTTTCGCAATAAGTTTTTTAAAAATTGAATGAAATTAAAAATATATACAATTTTTTCCTTTTAAAACAATAAAAACTAAAAAATAAAACTAAACTAAAAAAATATATCAATAAATTAAATTAAAATAAAGCAAAAATAAACAAAAATATTTTTAAGAATTTAATTACTTTTTCTCTCCTAAAACAATATATTCTAAAAATTAAATTAGAAAAAGAAAAAATAAATAAAAAAAGAAAATAGTACTTAAATTTTAAATGAAACTAAAACAAAAAAATCTTATTTTAAAACAAAATTAAATAAAAAAAAAATTAAAATAAAAAGTTAGAAAAACCAAAAAAATCAAAAATATCCTTAAAACGAAATAAAATAAAACAGTAATTTTTCTTTTTTAAACAATAAAATCCAATTAAAACACAATGAAATAAACAAAATAAAAACAAATTAAATCAAAAAATAGATAAAAGAAGTTTCTAAAAATTTTATTAAATTAAAGAATTATATATTTTTCTTCTTTAAACAATAAAATCTTAACATTTTAAGAAATTAAAGAAAATTTCTTTTTAAACCAATAACATTTAAACATTAAAATAAATTGTGATGAAGAAAAGATATAAATTAAAAAGAAAAATACATAAAATTATTTTCAAAAAAATTAAAATACAAACATACATATATTTTTCTTTTTAGGGGCCAAATTCATAGAAAAGAAAAAAAATCCGCTGTTAAGCAAGCCTGTGGCACTAATAATGTCAGCTGGGCGATCAAGCGAAGAATACTTCTTCCCAAAATGTGCTCCCTTGGGCTCGGCAAGCAACTCATAAGGAGAGCCGTATTTCGAAGAAAAAAACACTACGCTCCACAAATATTTTATCATGGCCGTTTTTTATATGGCGCAAGAAATGTGGACGAAATGTGTCTAATTACAAAAAAATAAGAATCTAAAGATCTGAGCCTACATAAATCTTAGATGGCATGTAGACAATGTATTCTTTTAGTTTCGAACGTTTTGACTGATCCCAGAAAATTGTATTGACCTCAACAGAAAATCATTCAATTCTTACGTGTTATTCCTATGGGAAAAATCGATCGATGCTGCACTATAATAGAGATGGGAGATTCATGGAGGACTATTACTATACCTTATACGATTATTTTTTTTTTAACTTGGTTCAATGTACATACATGTGCGTGCAACTAATTAACAACGACGTACCCCTGTGGATTTTATCGACCTATACAAGACATACTGAGTAGTCACAAATAAAATTGTTATGGCTTGAGTAAAACGAAGGCATGGCTTCAAAATGCATAGTAAAAACCGTTATAAGAGTTATTACAGTTTTTATGCAAAAGTAAGTAAGTAGAACTATCGTGCATATATTTAATTAGTTAGCAACGCATTTGAATTCCTTTGCTTTCCACCGAAGCCACTTAATTATGCTAGATTTTCATACAAAAACTTAATTTTAGTTAGTATAGCTATAACTACAGGCGGCTATAAAGGAAATGTGAAACAAAGAGTTTCAGTCCACTTTAAAATTATTGATTTCAAAGCTATTCAATGCTAAATTAGAAATACAATGGTAAGACATATTTCACGCATAAATATAGCGGATGAAACCATCGAAGGAAATAAACTATGCGTAGATAATTTAAAAAATGACCCAGGCCAGACGGCAAATAAAATTCCTATGGCGATTTATGAAAAATGGTGAAGCACATGAGCTGTCGACATTGTAAAAGCATGATTTCGTGATGTGAAGCCCCTTGGGAAGGAATTCCAGGAAGAGATCGATTCGAGTTCGCAAAGAAATACCGCCTCTGGACTCTTTACTGAATGGACAATTTTACTGTTTTGTGATTAAACAAAGTTAAATAGGATTGCACCAGATAGGAAAAGGATATTGCAACGCCCGCAATACAGGAACCAGGGAGCTCTTTCTACTATACCAACACTAAAATATTCCGGAGGCATCATAATGCTTTGTTGGCATGCTATGATGATAATGGATTTTTCAACTGGATAATGACCCATAACTCAGCAGTCGGTGCGCAAACTAACGGGTTTAGGTCCAAATGGGCATTATTTAAGCAGAAATGCATGCAAAATCTTTGGAGCCACTTAAAGGAAAAGGTTCAGCTTCACAATGCTAGAAATTTCAGAGAATTTTCTGATGAATACAAAAGGTACTAAGATATCGTTTCAAAGGACATTTGAATAAAATTTAAGAGATAGATGCCACTTAGATGCTAAGCTATGATCGAAAGTAGTAGATTTGGTACCAAATATTAACGTAAGCAATTTTTATTTATAAAGTTTTAACAAGGACCAGTCAATCGGGGCTAATTAGCTGCACGCCCGTTGTTAAGTATCAAGCTACAATGTCAGCATATTTTTTATAAACGCGATTTTTAAAACCCGTATACATAATTATTTGAGAATAAATATAATAAGATGTTCATTTAATTAAAGTCCTCTGGACATGGACCCAAAAATCGTCCCGCTATTAGTTGAGTAATCGTCGTTGTTAATTAGTTGCACTCAACCATGCGTATTTACATATATACATACATATATCTAGAACATCAACATGCATTTGCTTGTACATACATACCTCGAAATGAGTTCGACACCGTTTAAGTGTAAGGTTGGGTTCGGTTTTGTACTGTTTTAATGTTGTATATGCACGTCGAAGTTCCTGTGCATAGAATCCTATCTCCTCGTCGCTCAAGATGTCCAACAAATTATTTTCGCGATCCCAATAGAACAATAAATGGCCGTCATAGAAAGCCTTAGCCAAAACATATAACATCTGAGAATAAGAAAATATGTTTGTAAGTAGCTGCATATAGATACATAGTGCCAGGGTTGTTGCGAATATTCGCATTTGCATTCGCAACCGCGGAGCTTCCGCATTCATTTTGACATTCACATTCGCAATAATCAATGCGGAGCTTTTGCGAATGCGAATGTTTATTTGGCAAACAAAATGACAAATTTAAGCCAATATTTTTTGCCGCACAAAGAAGTATTTGTGTAAAAAATCTGATCGAAAGTCAGATTTATCTACTTTGGGGGGGGTTCTGACAAAATATTTTTTTATTTTTACTTTTATTTCAACATAGTTTGATTAAAAGAAAAATACTGATAAAAATAAAATATTTCACACAAATAGGGTTGTTTGTAAGTCAAATATATTAATATATACTAATGGCCGAGTAATCATAGTCAGCCTATGTGCAGTAGTAGGAAAAATTATAGCCGCACCCAATTTTGACAAGTTTTAAAATATTATTTTAGTTTTTATTTAATTTTGGTGAGTTTTTTATAGTTCATTCTACAATACAAGTTTAAAGGCAGTGTCACACGATTGGGTATTTGCCGAAATTCAATACCCAAATATTTTTCTTTATCCCAACCACGAAAAATAATTTGTTGAAATTTTTCAATAGAAGATTGCTGTATTGTACCAATATTTTGACTAAAAAAATATTTCCCAATTTTTTTATTTTGTACCAATAGACCAATATCAAATTTATGCAATTTGAAAAAAAAATCAGCAAATTTTCGTAAAAATTGTTTAATTAGATTCTGAGTATACAGTTTTGTAGCCCATTGAATTCTAGTACAATAAAGTACAAGTTTCAAGTGGCTAAAAATTACCGTTGATTTTTTAGAATTTTTAAAAAAGCTCGAAATTTGTACGAAAGTACAAAGTTGGAAGCTTGGATTTACACGGGTCAGAACACCTAAAAGTGAATTACAAAAACTAAAATCTAAAAATCCGATGACGTTACAGGTTCTCCAAATTCTGAAGCGGTTAAATTAATGAGAATGAAAAATTCTTCCAAAAAAGCTTTAGAAAAACCTGACACATCTGGTTTGGCTTGTGAGCCATGTTTACACAACGATCTTGCAATGATGCTAGATTCTTCAAGTGAAGATGAAAGGCAGGAGGACACAGCCGACATTTTCAAGTTTCTAGGGAAGGTGTGATTTACGACCCTTTAAAAAACAGGCTGCAACCTGAAAAGGCAGCAGCATTACTTTTTATTAAATATAATGTTCCAGTTTTTAAATTCAAGTACTCAATAAGAAAAACATTATTAAAAATTATTAACTTTTGCATTTTTTTATTTACCCACATATGTACATCACCTAATTTACTTACCTAAATTATTTCGTAAAATTACTTGACATCCGCATACTACTAAGGTTGATTATGAATTCGTTCTCAGTTCGATATGCATATTGGATATCGAAGGTCATTTTCGAACGTTCGCCCAAATGTTTAGAGGGTATTAATAATCCCCCAAACCCCAAAAATGTTTGTTTACGTTTGTTAGTATGAATGTACTGTAGATCGTACCAGAAAAAAGTTCAATTTTTCGTTATTTTTTTGGCATTTACAGTCGGCTATAAAAGTATGATTTGTCGATGTTTTCGACTTGGGACGATTTTTTATGTGCCACCAGATCTCTGTTCTTATCACCTAACCTAAGCCTATCACCTATCACCATCCAAAGCCATTAAATTAAAGCTCATCAAAGATCAGTAAACTTTTGCTAACGAAATATTTTCGTCAGTCCAGTAGAACCATTTAAAAAAGCGAGCACGAGCTTTAAAAAAAAATGGTTAAATAAGCAATTGGATATTGTTATTGGAAGTCTCCCGAAGAGAACCAGGGCTTTCCGACCGAAAAATATTGATTTGGAAGAGTTTCATGCCATTTCTATGAAAAGTTGTTTTTTCCCATATAAAATACATAAAAAACTTTTGAACGCTTTGAGGGACCTCTAAATATATCTTGATTTCAAAATGAAAAAACAGGGGCATATATTTTTCGATACAGAAAAATCCTAGGGGTGAGAGCATTAAAATTCCGACTTTACTTAGTGTGGACCACCCTAGTGTGTATACATGTACCATTAAGTATGTATATATGTACATCGATTTTATAACTTAAGATCAAAAAATTGCAAACATAATTCACCGCAAATATGTACATATGTACATTAGGGTGGTCCAAAAATGCATGTGGGGAAAAAGTAAAGTCGGAATTTTTAATGCTCGTACCCCGTAGATTGTTCTATACTGACAAAAATATACGCCTATTTTTTTAGTTTGGAAATAAAAAATATTTAGAGATCGCTCAAAGTTTTCCTTGTATTTTAAATGGAAACAAGTAAAAAAGTCTAAGTTCGGGTGGAGCCGAACATTAAATACCCGGCGCAAGTATTAAATGTAATTTTTCGGAAACAACAACAACCAAAAAGGAAATAATTTTTCACCTTTCTGAAAACTGCCGTTACATGGTAAGAAGTGTGGTTTTCCCCTATTTCTAACAATTTCGATAGTATGTTCAGTTATACTTAATGAGATAAACTTAATGGTTAAATAAACAACTGGTTATTATTACTGGAAAGTCTTCTGAAGAGAACCAGAGTTTTCCGATCGAAAAATATTGATTTTCAAGAATTCCATACCATTTCTACAAAAAGTGTTTTTTGTTCATATAAAATACATGGAAAATTTTGTGCACATTTAGCGTCTTTTAAATATTTTTTGATTTCAAAATAAAAAATAGGTGTATATTTTTTCGATATAGAAGAATCCTAGGGGGTGGGTGAGAGCATTAAAATTCCGACTTTTATTTTTTTTTTACCACCCTAATGTACATACATATGTATGCATGTACATAGCTGTCTTCGTTATCAATGCATGAGGCCTGAGTATCATTATTTCTTTGGAAAAGCGCTTTTTTTTAAATCCGTTAGTTTACTCTCAAATACACTCGTTTACGAAAGTTTAAACCAAAACTTTTAAATATGAGATTTATGGAATCGGACATCATTTTCTGGGTAATATAAAAAGTTGGTTTTCCTCCTGTACAATTTATTTATGGCATCTTTCATTGATAACGAAGTTTTGCACATTTACTTTTACATGTATGTACGTATATGTATGTATTTAAATACAGATGTGTACATATGTAGATGTGTACTTACATGCTCCAACAGAACGTAAAGTGGACTTTGCCAAAATGCATCACTTTGTCTCTCAATTTCCCATAAAAAGGCTGTGGTTATAAAATAACTTTTAAGGCGATCCAATTTATAAGCATTACGTAGCGATTTTAACAATCGGAATACGACCTTCAAATTTTGCCTGTCCAGCAAAAGTTTTCTTTCAACTCTAGGGTTGGCAATCATAAAAGACAAACACCGGGAACGCCGCCTATCACTCGGAGGCTTTGGAACGGCGTACCATTGGTAGCTGTTGTCCCAAAATTTAAATTTAGGATAAGGGACTATTTTCATCCACTCCTCTGATCCAAAGCAAATACCAGGAATGAAATCTATCGACAATGAACGTATAGAGCACTTCGCAAATATAGTATGTGCTAATCCGCGCTTCGAGTATGTAAGGGTGTATAAATCACCCATGCAGCCACGAACTTGATTCCCGCGTTCATCTAAACAATCTTCAACAACTTCTTCAAGCCAAGTTTGCAACTTAGAACGTCGTAAGTAGTAATAGTTATCGACCAGTTCATAAAAATGATCGTAAACGTCGGAATAGCCGTAATTTTCGGACATTTCATCCAGCGTGTTTCTTAAATCCAATCTAACGTATCCAGGGCGACTAACGTCCCTAGTAACAGTAATGTGCGAGGAGTACGGGATACTCAATATGAAAATTACATCGAATTCACCTGGATATTTTATGCGCACGTTGTTGGCATAACTTCCTGCGAGAGAATAAATTTACAGATATTAGCGTGGGTCAAATATTATTTTTCGATACTAAAAATCATTCAAAAAATCTATTTCAGTGTTCCCTAATCGAAGACCCCAAAAAACCCAAACCGATTATACGAGGAGCCAACATCGGACTACTACATATATGTACATATGTACATACATATGTGCACATTTGGGGTGGACTGAAAATACCAACTTTAAACTTTAAATGACCCAGTGATAAAAAAGTTGCCTAAGGAGAAGAGAAATTGAGGGAATTTTTGAAATCGTTAATATCATCTACCCCGCCAACATTCACAGTTCTCATCTACTGCTAAGCTTGTGTATCCGTTACGACAAATACAAAAATTAGGTAATTTATGCAGCTGCTAAAAACTGGTACTCAGTATTAAAACTGAAATCTTACCGAATAGGCTAGTGCCTTTATAAAGCTTATTGAAGACGTTATCCACGAAGCACATGCCATTCAATACATGGTCCCGTATTCGATCGTAGTCCTTTGTGCATATAGGCCTATCCTCGTCTCTTATTGTTATGAGATTGGCAATTTCCTGTAGATAGGATTCGTAAGGATATGAAGGCATGGTATCGTTGCAAATGTTTTACTGAAACTAAAGAAATAAAAATAAAAGTAGAAATTTAAAACAAGTAAATTAAAAAAAAAAACCAAAAAAAAAAAAAAAGTGCGCCTGGGCCACACTGTAGAAGTGATATCTAAGTTGTGTCATAATCAACATATCGAGGGCTTATATTCAATACAATCTATCTGCAATTTTCAGAATAACTAATTTCCGATGTTGAACCCATGTGGTGCTTAGCTGTCATCACTAATGTTAATTTGAACTATGCAATTCAATAACAAATTTTTCTAACAAACGATATACATGGTCAGCATTAATATCATCGATGGCAGTTGAATCTAAGGTGAATTTCAATAATAAATATCAATAGCAATACCGATAAATATCAATAGCAATATCGATAAATATCGACAAGAAAATCGATAAAAATGTCCATAACAAAATCGATAAATATCGATAAAAAATCGAAAAATATCGATGACAAAATCGATAAACATCGATGACAAAATCGATAAACATCGATGACAAAATCGATAAATATCGGTAGCAAAATCGATAAATATCGATAACAAAATCTATAACAATATCGATACAAAAACACATAAATATAGATAACAAAATCGATAAATACCGATAAAAAAATCGATAAATATCGATAACAAATTCGATAAATATCGATAGCACAATCGATAAATATCGTTAAAAAATCAATAAATATCGATAACAAAATCGATAAATATCGACAACAAAATCGATTTAAAAAAATATCGCTAACGAAATAGTTAAAAATATCGATTACAAAAACGAAACAAATCGAAAAAGTATCGATTATTATATCGATAAGCTCCGAAAATATCGCTAGCAAAATTTATAATATCGATAACAAAATCGATGAGAAAATCGATAACAAAACCGATAAAAATATCGATTATTTTATCGATAAGCTTCGAGAATATCGAAAATCCCAAAATAGTTCCCAGATTGAGTCTCTGTGTCTCTCTCTATATCCTTTCCTCTTTAACCTTCATTTTAAACTTTCTTCCCCTATTTTCATCTTTACTTTTATCGGTATCCTCATCCCCATCTTTGTTTTTTCTTTTATGTTTATCATTTTTTTTTTCATTTACATATTCTCCTTCACCTTTGCCCTTATATATATAAGTAAAGTGTTTAAATTTACCTTGGTCTTCATTTTTGCCTTTATCTTTACGCATCTTTGTTTTTGTTTTTACCTTTGCCTTTATCCTTTTCTTTGCCTATGTACGGCGACTACGTACTTTTCTTCTTGTATTGGTCTTTTTCCAAGTGTTATTCTTTAACCTTTTATTGGTAAATTTTTGTTAAATTAATACCATATGCATACACACAAGAAGCACTAGTTTCAGCTCCAACCATATCCTTTGCATCACTTCCGTTGTATCATTTCCGTTGCATCATTTCCGTTGCACCATTTCCGTGTGCAATTTCCGTTGAATTTGCCAATTTACTCCCAACGAACCAACCGCCGCTAAAGAAGTTTCACTTCAAAACATAACCGAATGACCGTATCCAAAACAAATTAGTATGCGACCACCATTGAGGTACCACCTTTCGGTTAACGTGGTTCAAAGTTATGCGCAACGTACATAAAGAAATATTCTGACGAACTGATAACCTCCTCTTTTTTTAAATCGGTTAAAAATATATTGAAGAAAAGTGCAATGAAGATCACTTATGCAATCTATGACATACATACATATGTATATACACAACTACATATCGACTGCTGAGTGGAAGATCGACCTATCTCGGCAGCCAGTTCGAAAACGCCCTATCTCAAAAAACTTTTCAATAACGCCCTATTTCAGAATTTTATTGAAAAACACCCTATCTTAGAATTTGGTTGAAGAACGCCCTATCTCACTTCAAAATGTATTGAAAATGTGCTGATATAGAGGGCTTTTAATTGGCAGCTGTGATAGCGAATTTTTGAAACGAGTGCTGATATAAGGCGTTCTTAAAAAGGTTTTTGAGATAGAGCATTTTCCAGCTGGCTGCCGATATAGGTCGATCTTCCAATCAGCAGTCGACATGTATCTACATATGTAAAACTAGGAGATTACTCGACTTCGTTCGGGGTGTCCGTTAACTGAAATTTTGCCAACAAAAATTGTGTTTAACCCTCTTTCTGTCCCATATCTAAACTTACGTCCAGTTAATTTTTATTGTGTGCTAAATACATAGTAGGTACATAAAAACGTATACTTATATCGGCATATATATGAGCAAATCCGAGAAATAGTCTACCAAAAATAACATTGTACATACATATGTACATATGTACATACATACCTTCATATTCGAAGACTTAGCTCAAGTCGACAAAAGCCATTTTATCTCTAAAACAATATTTTATCGGTTAACGATTAGCTAGCCATAAGTGTCCCAGTACTGTAGGAGGCATTCGCTACTTTTAAGCCGCTACTGCACCGACTCCTAGGTAAGTAGCTACTCTATTACCCCGTGGTAGTGCACATGGGTAGTGCAGAGTGAACCAGTCGGAAGGCGAATAGCGAAAAACTACGACATAAATCACCCAAGTGACTACTTTAATAGCTCCCGGTAGTGCAGATAGAGCCGATGGTGACTACCGGCTAGGACATTGCCTTGTAAAAGTAATCGCTGAAATACACTGCAAGGAGGCGGTCGGTAATTGACGGAGTTTATAAGGTAGCTACCGATTCATCAGTCCTGTAGTCGCTCCCCCGTACTGCAGGGGTAGTTTAAGATGCCCTTTTTAGAAGCCCAATAAAAATATATAATCTTTTAGGGAAAATTGTTTTTATTTAAGGTTAAACTTTCTTTAGTCCCTTAAGCTACTTTAATTGACGGGAACAGATATATATTAAGATTAAGGATAATTACCAAAATTAATTAAGGCAATCCAACACCGTTCATTACTTCCAAATTGGTGAAAGTAGTGGTGATTATGTGAAATATATATCTTAATTATTACATTTCAATTCAATTTGGCGCACTGCGGTTGTACGTCTTCTTCTTATCTGGCGCGGTAACCGCCTAAGCGATTTTTGTCGAGTCCAACAAAGTATGCCAGTCGATTCTATTTTGTGAAACCAAGTTTTTCTCCACCCGGTCTTACCAACTCGGCGAGTTTCTCTTGTTCCTCTAGTTCGAGCATCGTGACCCGCATAGCATACTTTCATAACTGGAGCGTTTCCCGCGCGATTTATTGAATAAAACATGATAAATACATTTTTATTAATATATGTATATAGTTGTTTAACGCAAAAATACATTCTGCTTTTAAAAATTGTTTTCTTTCCTGCAGTAGTGGATATAATAGTGCTTGATTTAAGGACACTTGCTATCCAGCGGAATGTGGTTATATCAATTAGAGTTGGGACTTCTAGTTCATTTCGATGATCGATCACTAGGGTTGCCAGATTTTTTATGCGCGAAATCAGTACGTTAGACTCATGCTAAAAAAATCAGTACTTTTCAATACATTTCTATTCAAAGCAAAATTATGAATGAAAGTAATATATATATAAATAAAATATAGTTCATAAAAAATAAGTGTTATTCATTTTAACATGACTGTACACATCATTGTACACAGAAGCCAATAAATTATTTTATATTTATGACATTTTTGAATAGCAATAATGAGATCATTTCCATTTTCAGTGTTTAACTAGTCAAAGAATAGTCGATAATACATTTCATTTTAGAATTAATTTTAATTTGAAGTTCACTTTCAAAAAATTTAACTAGAAGCCGGTTTCTCTCTTTGCAACAGGAACCAAACTTTATACTCAATCCTCCCAGTTGATTCGTTTGAGAGTGGTATTGAAAAAAGCAAAATTACATATTTGGGGAAAAGTACCACTATTTAAAAACTTCATCTATATTTCCTTATGGCTTAAATTAATTTTTTCAACTACGCAAAATGTTTGAAAGACTAATAATTCGCTAAAAAAGTGTATCTAGCTCTATGTCTGTATGCAAAACTCTTTTGCAATGCCAGTAAATTGTGAAAAAAGAATTGTAATTTATAGGCAAAGCCATTCGAATATTCAAATTTGTTGCTATTAAAAAGCAAGTTACTTTCGAGATAGCTAACAACACTCGCCAAAACAACGTCAGCCTTCTTTTTAAATAATTTAGCATATTGGTTTCTATGCAGAGTTTCCTGTAAGGAAACTATACCCTATGTGTCTGTTAACGATTCTCTCCTTTGTTTTTGTTGAAAGGACGTAAGAGTTATGAGTCGGTATGTCTTTGGCTTGTCTGCTGGGGATGAAACGGACAGTCACTTTATGCCCTTGTAGCGGAAGGTACCCCCACTCAAAGCATGCCCTAAAACGTGGTATTAAAAATGGCAGCAGATCAGCTGGGTAGATGTCATCTGCTCCAAGCGCGTTGAAGAGCGCTGAGACAGATATAGCCCATCTTAAAGACGTTAATCATCGGCACAGGATCGTTTTATCCTAGTATGCATGTGATGGTTCGGATTGTCATTAGTGGTAGGGAAAATGCAGCTAGCAAATTGATTCCTTCCAGCTTTTCGTAAAGGATCTTTCGGTTCTTTTCAGAAGCCTTAGTTGCGTGGTGTATTTTTTCAAGGACTCTGTGGATTCTTGCGCTTGTTTTTAGGCCCTCGATTGTGCAGAAGTGAGTCCATAAGTTTATTTTTCTATGCCTAGTAGCTTAGTAATACCACTTGTCATCTTACTAGCAGCCTCCTGTTTGGCTTGTATAAGGGAGCAAAGCGAATGGATCTGGTGGTCAACGAGGACAAGACGAAGTATCTCATGCCATCAAATAAACAGTCAACGCATTCGCATATTGTTACCCACGTCACTGTTGACAGTTATAATTTCGAAAAAGTGGAGAATTTCGATTGCTTGGGTACCAAAATTGAAATTCAACGCAGAATCAAAGTGCTACTTTGGACTGAGTAGGCAATTAAGGAGTAAAGTCCTCTCTCGACGAACGAAAACCACATACCATGTTGGTATGTAGCGCAGAAGCATGGACAATGACAACATCCGATGAGGCGGCTCTTCGAATGTTCGAGAGAAAGAAGATTTACGGGCCTTTGCGCGTTGGCGACGGCGAGTACCGCAGATGATGGAATGATGAGCTGTATGAGCTTTACAACGGCATAGACATAGTGTAGCGAATTAAAATGCAGCGGCTCCGCTGGCTTGGCCATTTCGTTCGAATGGACTCGGAACCCGCTGATGGTAGCAGAGAAATAGGGAGGCCCCCACTGCGATGGAAAGACCAAGTGGGGAAGGGATTGGCTTCACTTGGCATACCCAATTGGCGGCAGTTGGCAAAGAAGGGAAACCCCTGGCGCGCTTTGTTGAACTCGGCCAAAATCGCTTAGGCAGTTACAGTACCAATTAGGAAGAATATCTCACATTAGTAGGCATCTTTCTTGTGGATTGGGCAGATGGCACTTAAATTTCAGTCGTCGGGCGTGCGCACATATTCAACACAACAGTCGATGCCTGCACCATATCAACTCCTCCCCGCCGTACTTTAAAATACAAGGCAGGCAGAGCGTCAGCTTCAGCAGCTTTAATGTTTTGCTGTTTTCAGCCGCGTATTTACTATTCGTAGCTCGTTATAGTCAGACACTGGGATATCGCCATCGCCTATGCGCTCACTAACACCTTCTCCACTACTTGCAGTGCTGTATTTTAGGGTCTTCGCATTTACGTATTTTATCCTCCCTTTGTTCGAAAAATACGTGCTATATTGGCCCCACACGAGTAGTTAGCGTTGCGCCCAATCGCAGCGTGGCCCTGTAGGCATCTTTTTCTCTGCAGCTCTGCGACATTCCTCATCGTACCAGTTGTTCCTTTGGACCCGGGGAAGCCAGACAACTTTTTTGACATCGGTATGCAATGAGCGGGGGATGTGGTTCAACCGCCCCCACATACCGGTTTGCTGAAAAGTGTGCGTATCTTGGTTGTGGATGGTGGTCCGAGTCAATGTCTATCCTTCAATAAATTTCTCGTCCTTCTCTTCCGCCGGGGCGTGGGCGTAGATGAGTGGGATGTTCAAGCATATCGTTTTAATGTGGATTGTGACTAGACGCTCGTCCATCGGTGTGATCGACGAATCTGTGCACATTTACGTGGCAGTTATTGTAGACCACGCAAGGTAATCAACCAGCCAAGCAGGTACCTTCGCCTTAAGGCTCAGGATATTTTTCTGGTGGGGCAGAACCCATTGCTGGGGGTTCCCCTTTCACATTAGCTCGCGTCTAAACGAGTGTTTCACTGCTACCCAGAGGATCGAGCGTGTCATCAAACATGTACAACAAGTAGCATCAGCTCAAAACAATTATGTATTACAATCAATGCACCCCACGTGGGTCACTTCGTACCCACCCGCGACGTCATGCTCACCCACTTTTCTACGCTTCTTACTTTCTTGCCATGATTCTTCTTATACCACCGTCTTAGCTGCTGGTGTACCTATCTCGGGTATTGCGGCTCTTGCCACATCCCAAGCATGCTTCAGCTCGTAGCGTATAATCGGTAAGTATTCTGCGTCTGATTTCGTACTACATGAACGAATTCAACATCTTGGCACTCTGCGTATAACATAGAGTTAACTAAGCCGAAATAGTGTAAATAATTCTGGCAGTATCCGTAGCCTGTGAGAAACCGCATCATATGAAAGTTTACTTCTCCATGTGTGCTATTAAGTCATTTATGTATATTTGGGACTAGTGTTCACGTCCACCTTCTTTTAAGGGGTTTTCACAGCAATCTTCCTTAACTATCTTCGCTGTGCTAGTGTCATTCAGACTGTTTCGTTGCTCAACTCTCATTCTTTCCTCCGCTAAGAGATTAATCGGCGTCATACCAGCGATAACCAGTGCTGCTTGGTTTGACGTGATTTTGTAAGCGCATACGACTCTCGGTGCACAGATCCTATGGGGCGCCTCCGAGAGATGCTGGTATGAATTAACTTAAATCGCTCTTGCCCAAACTGGGACCGCATAGAGAAGTACTGATGTAACTAAACGTTTTTTGCTCGAGTGCCGTATAAACTTGACGTCTTTGCTTTGCAACAGGAATAAATACATGTGTATGTTTGTATGTTTGTATGTAAGTGGCTTGAAGCCCTGCCGGACATGATAGTTTTGAATTTTTTTCTTTTTCTGTACTAAGAAAAGTTGGGCGAAAACTAAGCCACATTAAAAAAAAAAACTTTAGGTTAAGGGAGTGGTAGTCCTAGAGATCGCTGGAGAAGGATACTTTCATGTTATGTTACAAAAGAAATATATGAATGTGATATGCCTGTGTATCTATCTACGTATGTGTGTCCTTATAACTGCGCATTTATTTTTCTACTGACAAGTCCTGAGGTCTACACATATACATACATATATACAGTCATACATAGGTACATGCTATATGTATATGTATTATATGTATGTACATATAGCTATACGATTTTGTATCTACACTATCGAGTTGTCCCTAAAAAATTAATGCATACATACATACATATGTACATACATGCATGCCTACATACTCTCATGTGTGTATTCACACCCACGCATACACTGATTCACCCGCATTCGTTCGTCCGCACTCTGACCGTCCACAGAAGAACTAACCGCCGCCCACAATCCATGCGAAAACGAAGGTATGTACATACAAACGCGTATACACATTTCGAAAGCATTGTTAGCGCTCAACGCTCAACGCCAACAACACCGACGACGATTAACGCCAGTTGCTATTTGCGCGCGCTCTTCGCTCTTTGCAGTTCACTGTCGTCATTGCCTTCATCAACGGCAGCGGCCGATGTGAGCGTCTACACCCAACACCCAACACCCAACGCACAATATCACTATGCGCTGCCGTTGCCATTGCTATTGCTGTTGGTTTTGTTAGCGTCCCTTTGCCGACCCTCCATTTCTTCACAACGCCTCGCAGTACAGCGCAACACTCAAACGACGTTTCGCTTTTATCGATTGGTGGCAAAAACAAAACCAAACCAGAATGAAGAAGAAACACGCAGAAGCGCTGCAAGCGAACGAGCGCATGCGAGCGGCCGTTTGCCGTTTCAGCACAAAAACAAAACACGAAAAAAAACACAAGCAAGCGAAACAAAGCGGTGACATGAGCTGCAGCAGCGTAGTTGCTGGTGTTGGCCGTGTTAGGGGCAAAGAGCTCCTAGTGTTTGTAGTTGAAGGCAGCGGTGGCGGCGGTAACAGTGACGCCGGTCGAACAGAGTACACTGCGCCGCGCTTGTTGGGGACCGCTTGGCATACAAGCATCAAAACCAGCCAGTACACAACAACAAAAGCAATTACAAGCAAACCAAACGACAAAACGACCGACCGACCGAGTAACTGGTAGGCAGGCTAAAATCATCATTGCCGCGTCATGCCACCACACAGCTAACCATTTCAACGACGACGCGTCGGCGATGACGACGAGTACGGCGGCAAAACAAAAACATGTACAGCAACGAAAGCGCGAACGATGTTTTGTGACGACGGACGACTAGCAGCAACGCCACAACGTCAGTTGATTCGGCATAACATGAAGACTCACGCTAGGTATACACATACATATTTATGTACATATGTACGTATTTGCACTCGCGTGTATGTACGACTATTCATCTGTATGTACATACGAAGGTGCGCGTTTTGTTGCTGCCTTTGCTATTGATGTTGTTTTTTCCTATTGTTTTTGCGCGCTGCTTTGTTGGTATGTTCGTAAGTAGATTTTGTGTTTTTTTTTTTGTTCGCTGCTCCCCTCGTTCGCTTAATGTAGTTGTTTTTGTGATACTCCTTGTTATTCTTGCTGTTGGGTTTTGAAGCAGTGCTGCGTTTCTCCCACTTTTTTTTCTTTTTACTTCTGTTATTTTCCAAGCGCTATTGACGCACGCCTCACCCGTTACCGCTTGGCTGGGTTTTTGTTCGCCCCGTAGCGCGATACGGCGACAGCAGTAGCACAGCGGAGAGCAAAGAAGGGGGAAGGGTAATATGCGCAGCAACATCGAAAGCGGCAACGATGGCGGCAGCGGTAGCAGTGTGAGGATGGCGACGCTACAGCCGCAGATTGACAGGCTACACCAAACGGTAATGGCGGACGGGGTCCAACACCAAATGTATACACACACGCGCTTGTGTAGGCGCAGTAGTGGGACGTGCGGTATTCGATGCACAAAACAGCAAAACAGTGAAAAGCAGTACAATCAGGCCACCGCGCACACACGCCGCCACATACAAGCATCACGATGGCATGGTTTGTCGACTGCTAAAAAGAGCTATCATCCAAGCAACGACACTATACAGACCGTATGTGCATACATATGTATGTATATACATATGCACATTGGAATGGCATAGTGGAGCCATTGACTGACTGACGACAGCAGCACAATACAGCAAAGTACAGGCACTGCCGGTTGTCAGCGTCACGCAGAGAGGTGAAGTGTGCGCACAAACGTGAACGCTGGCGTGCGCGCTACGTTGATGGTATGCCGTACTATGCTGCGCTGTGCCGTGTCGAGCCAATATGGGGACTGCGGTGAAGCGACTGCAAATCGGTCGGTCGTCGAGACGAAAGAAAGCGGTGTGTAAGGATTTTTCAGTGTATTTGTGGGCGCTTGTGTACAGCGAATATCATATGAGACAACGGAGTTAAGAGATTGAAATACCTAAGAAGAGGCGGCTGCATGGATGGGGCAGAAGATTTGAAATCGTAGTACAGCAGCGGACAGCGACAAGAACTACGCTCAGATCGATGGATGGATGGATGGATGTATGGCCGTGGTGGTGATGGCAATGGCAATAAGCAGGCGACGAGCACTCTGAATGTCGTGTTGGCGTTGGCTGTAGCTACCAACGCAGCAAATCCAAAAACAAAACGAACAGGCATACCTAAAAGAGGCGAATGAGTAGCGAACGGCAAGGCAACTAAATGAAATAGGGCACGGTCGGGCGGCGACGACAACGACGACGAGTTTTTGTGTTTAGAGCGCTCGCAATAATGCTGATAAGTGAGGACAGAAGGGTAGAAGGTAAGAGCGGCAACGAACGACATCGTTAAAGCTGGACAACCGCACATAAGGTAAGCGACGACATCCATGTTATGGAGGATAGCAGGCGAAAAGTGAAAAATAAATGAAATGAAAAGAAAAAAACAACCCAAAGTATGAACAAAAACAACAAAGCAAAAAACAGTAACTGGCGACTAAAAATAACACGCATATAACGCAGCTCAACGTAGAAGATAATCACAGTAGCACAGGATAGCGGCGGTGGCTTCAAGGCCCAACCACTCGATGATAAAAGTGCACATGGGCAGCGGTATTACCAAGGCAATGGCGGACTTGGCGTACACAACACGAGGATCTCTAACAAATTGACAAACAGGGAGCCGCCTGAGCGCCCAGCCCAAAATTTTAAGAATCATAATTGAGCTTTCATATAAATTCTGCAATCAGGAGTTAAAATTTGTGCGACTGCGCGCTACCGCACTACAGCGCGAGCAAACGATCTGCAACTCAAAAATAAAGCATAGATCGAGATCAGATCGGTTGTCCGGACGGTCGGCCGGCTGTAGAAAGTGAAACGAAATGTGAAGCAAATGGAGGTCTTAAACAGATATTGACGGGCTACTGATCTTATTTAAATATAACATCCTCAATATATGCACAAAAGCGGTAGTAAGACAAACATTAACCTTTGTTAACAATTTCAAATTCATGGCGATTTGATTGTGGATCTATCAGCTAGCAGGCCGTGTTGCAGATAGCGTTCAATACTGGCATTTGCTGATGGGGACGATGGACTGCTGTTTGTTTGCACCGCAGCCAAGTGGAGACAATAACAAAATAACAGCTAAGCCGACATAGTGGAAAACTCCAGTGTTTAGCTGTGTGCAGAAAATCAGCGCACTGCCCGACGTGCTTGACCAAACATACACACACACGCACATATGTGCATACGTACGAACGTACGTCGGTGGCAACAACAGCAGCAGTAGCAGCAGCCATCGTCATCGCCAATGTTACAAGCATTGCCTTCGCCGTGGCAGCATTAAAAGTTGCCTATCCTCCTTGCTCGCCTGCCTGCCTGCCTGCTGGCTGGCTGACTGTTTTCACGACTTGTAATGACGACGACGACGACGACGAATCTACAGTGAGTGTAATCAGCAGTCGTTTGGTCGGTCGATTGGAGGGTCGCTTGGTTGGCCGGATTGCTATGTGCTTGCTGGTCGGTCGGTCGGCCGGCAGTAGGAAGCGAAAGGCGCGCGCATACTGCTAAAGCAAAACTATATGCGCGTAAGTAAGTATATATGTATATGTTTATGTGTACGCTCATATCCATGGTAAATGCATAAACGCGGCTCGGCAGCTAGTGCTACATGGAGGGATGCGATGTGCTGACTAACACAATGGAGTGAGGTGGTGGTGGGATGGTGTGGCGTAGCGTGACGTGACGTGATGCGGCGAGGCGTGGAGTGGAGTGGTGTGGTGCGGTATGTGCCAAACACAAAGAGTAGAAAAGTGTAGCGCTGGCGTTGATACTAGGTGATGGGGGACGTTTGACGACGACGACGACGACGACAACAAAAGCAAGAACGGCAACAATAACAATAAAAACGACAACAGCTACGAAGCGAAGTTTGCGCGAATCGACGGAACACAAGCGAACATACACACCAATTTACATCCACACTACATATACATATTCGTGTACACACATACATACATTGAAATGTAAGTACGTTGCACGACGTACACTTTATACAGCTACGCCAGCCAGCCTGCGGCCAACAGCGGGCGGCACGTGGGGAAACTGTACATGCTAGCTTGCTTGGCTGCCTGCCTGCTTTACTCCCCTTGCACTGCCCTGCCCTGTCTTGCACGGCCATGATTGTGGCTGTGGCTGTGGCTGGGCTGCCTTTGGCTGGCGCACAACCAACAGCCACGCATTAAAGGGAGCACACGGTGGCGCGCAGGCAAGCGGCAGGGGCGGTATAGTGCGCGCTAGCAGCTTCGGTTGGGCGATTTGTTAGTTGAGTTTAGTGCTTGCTTTGCTGGGGTCGTCGTTTGCTTTAGCTTGCTTGGCGGTGGATCGAACAAATGGCAGTTGGCAGCGCGGCGCTCGCTTGCTTGCTGGCTTACTGCTGTGTCCGTTGTTGAATGTCGTTGATGAGCGAACAAACGAACGACTGCCTGATGGTATGGTAGCGGCGGTTGGGTGTGCTGCTGATGGCATTTTATGTTGAGTGTGTGTTTTTGTGGAGGCGGACGCATTGTGAAGCGCGCAAAGCAAAATGTAGGCAATTTAAAGGAACGCAGTAGAGTTTTAACGGTGTACGCGTAGTGCACCGTATACGTCGTTGTTGTTGCTCTCAATAATATTACGTATACATATGTATGTATGTATTCTTATGTATGCCTATATCTACATAAGTATGTATATATGTATGTTCATTTTTAGTCTAACACATATTCATACATATGTACCGCTCGCCTTCACTACTTCATTACTACTTCAACTACGTACATAGGTACTATCTATAACTCCTGTTGCTTGTTTTGCTTTGAGACAGTGCGTAAATCCAGGTCTATAGTGCAACGCCTACGCTACTAAGCTGCAGCAGTGCAATAGCAGCATTAAAATCATCAGCAATACCACCATAAACCTCCATATCACCATCGTCATCCAACGTCACCTGTGTTACTACGAAGGCTGTTGCCGCTGCTAGTGCAAGCGCTAGTGTCGCTACCAACCATCATCCACGCCATCATCATCATCATCATTGTCATCATCGTCAACAACATCCACACCACTACCGCTGCTGCCCCTGCCATTGCGCCGACTGCCACAGCCTTAACCACAACAAATGTATTCTTGTTGTTATTATTGTTGTTGATTTTTTAGGAATGCGCCGCTACTATTCCAACAGCTACTTGCCTGCGCCTGTTTACCCGCTTTCCACTTCCACCGACATACTACCGGGCTATTGTTGCTGGCGCTGCTGGTGATGACGCTAGCGCTGGCGCTGCAGCTGCGACCGATGGTAATGGGAATGGTAATGGTGTGGCTGTGGCTGTTGGTGTTGCTGGCGGCCGCCTTTTTGTCGTCACACTGGCATCATCGTTGCTTTTGTACTGCATTGCGCTGTTGTTGCTCCGACTAGCTGCCTGCCTTCTGCTGTCACTGTCGCTGTCGCTGCCGCCGCCGCTGCTGCTGTTGTTTTTGTTTGTTACTTTTTTTGTGTGTTCACTGTTCACTGTGCCGTCTGTGTCTCTACACTGCTCGTGTCTGTCGAACCGTTGCGCGGTGGTTGTACGTGCGCTCAGCTCATTCAAGTGTCCAACTTTTGTCGGAGCGGTCGCATCGGTACGGATAAATTCACACAACGTTCAGCAGCAGTCAGTCCGCTGATTGCCAAGTGCGGTACAATAAACGGGAGCGCCTGGTGATACATATATTTATTATCTGTGTGTATGTGCATATAGTAGTTATACATACATACCTGCATATGTTATATGGATGTAACTATACATCATATACGCGTCTGTATACTTATATATGTACATACATAAGTTTATGACGGTGATATAAAAAGTACTATATGTTTATAGGTACATACTGGACAGATCGTTTGGAATTAATGTGCAGCTACATATAGGCTCTTTATGAACTTTGCTGAAGGCGCTCCAACTGGGGATATACATATGTATTTACATATATACAGGCATATACAGACGTAGTTGCCGTTTTTTTTTTGTTTTATTGTTATTGTGGTGCTGCTACAGCTGCCATCATCGCCACAGCAATTGCCTTTAGTGCTGCTGCTGGTGGTTATAATCTGCGCCGCTGTTGAAGCCGTAGCTACAGACCCGTTGCTGTTACTCGTGCCGTTGCCATTGTCCGCCAACCAGTCGCGGCTAGCAGTCCCAATATTGCCACTGTGCTTGCTGTATCACCGCCGTCTACATACACGCCAATCGATATTTACTGGCTGTGGTCTGCGTGCGCTGAGGACCATCAAGTCCAACTAAAAGCATACATACCTGCAAGCGTGCATTTTCATACATACCTGGATGCATATGTGCATGCTTGGGTATATACATACAAATATACTTGCATATGAATATACATACATAAATACATATATAATTGTGTACGCTCGCTAATAACGCCTAATTGCAAACTACATATACATACATACATACATACGGTAAACGCAAAGTGCGAAGAAGGTGCGCGCTAACAAGTGTGTGCATGGGAATGTGCGCGCGATGCATTACCACTTGCTTATCAAAACAATTAATAAATAATAAAATTAAAAAAGTAATAAACTCTAACCGGGCACTCGCTGAAATTTACGATAAACCATAACAGCAGAGCATAACAACGATTGTGACAAATGATGCTTGGCTGGTAATCAAAATAAAAACTTTCCTTACACGTTGATAGAAACGAGTAATTTAGCGGATTATAGACCATTGTGCTGAATGTCAAATAATAATTGTGAAATAATTGAGCACTCAAATATGAAAACTCCACGCGGCGCTAGTGAATCGTCTACGACGTCCGACAACACAACCGAATTCATTGATATCGTCAAGAAGTATGATGTTGTTTATAATACACACAATCCCGATTACAAGAATGTCGAAGTGAAAATGAAGGTTTGGTCGCAGATTGCAGAGGAGATTGGTCTGTCTATTGGTAAGTATGTATGTATATAATGCGAATTCTACGAAACATACGAGGGCACTAAATAAGTTCTTAGATTTCGCAAAACTATAGAGATTTGCGTTAATCTGACGTTTGCATCGTAAAATTTTGACATTTTTTAGCATAAACATACTCAGAACGTTTTACGCGCAGAGCAAAAAAATAATTATTGACTTAAATAGTACGTCGGGTATACTCGCGCTGCGACCTTAAAGATCTATTGTGCTAAACCCTTATTGTAGTCACTCCAACCTTAGGCTATTCAAGAAATTAAGCACATTAGAGGGTGCCGTGTTCGTTCCCCAAGATGCATCAGGGACAGTGTTTACAACTGGTCGTACTAAGTTCTCCCCTGATGGCTGAGAGGTCATCTAATAAACATTGTAAAATAAAACTCTTTGCGGATGATGCCTTGTTAACGATCAGTGATAGGGAACTACCAAATGCGATTGTCAAAATGCAAGAAGATCTTAATTCTTTGTATCAATGGCTGTGTTCAAATAAACTCAAACTGAATGTGAAAAAGACTAACTTTAT